CCTCAGGTGCTGCTCCCACCCACCCGTGTCCACTTGGGCACCCACTCTTGGCCATGCTCACTGGCTCTCAGTGGTGACCACTGCACAGCCTTTCTGCACCCATCATTTCACTGCCTGCAGCCTTAGTGGGAACATGGTCTGATTTCAGTTGTGTAGCTGGTGAATATTCAGACTAAGAGACACTGGGGAGGGGCTGTTCACAGGAGCTTTTAGCAATAGGATGAGCGGCAATGGCCTTAAACTAGAGCAGGGGAGATTTGGATAAGACATTAGGAAGAAGTTTGTTACAATGAGGGTGGTGAAGCACTGGAACAGATTGCCCAAAGAGGTGGTGAAGGCTTCATCCCTGGAAACATTCAAGGTCAGGCTTTAAGAGACTCTGAGCAACCTGATCTAGTTAAGGTCCCTGTGCACTGCAAGGGGGGCTGGGCTAGGTGACCTTTAAAGGTCCCTTCCAACCCAATTCATTCTAAGATTCTATTATTCTAATTCCCTCCATATCTTTGGAGTTCCTCTACATTTCTGCATGCAGTGCTCTTGGCCATGCATGTACACACACCATCAGCAGGGGTTTCCCAGCCCTCACTGTCCCCTTAGGTATCTGCTGGGACAGAAATGCCAGCTGGGCAAGGAGCTCAGAGCATTTGTCAATCTCTGCTTTTTACACTGTCTCCTCCTTGGAACTGTGATTGTAGTTCAGGTATCAAAACCTACTGTTCACCCCATCAGTAAACTGTGCAGATAATCCCAGACACTGTGTTCATTTTGTTCTGACTACCAACAAGGAGACGACAGGGAATTTTCTGTGGTCACACGATGACATACACCTCTGGTGCAGCTCTCCTCCTCCAGGCTAGAGAAGAATGTTTTTTGCTTGATTTTTGAACTTCAGCTTTTTAAGTCTCGGTTTCTTCTGTCATCTCTGCATTGTAGGTATGAAGCAGCTCTCTCTGACTATCATATGGCCTTCAGTCATCTGAGAAAGAATCCCTTCATTGATTACAAGCAGCTGGGGCTGAGGTACATACTCTATGCATGGGAGGTAAGAGTCAACAAGTCTCAGCAGTCCTGCCTCTCCTCAGGGGTGCAGCAGCAGGTGTTGGTACCCCCAGAACTTTTCAAACACATTAGAACAGGAAAAACTTTCTGCTTGCACTTTTTTTTAAAATAACTTAATAGTGAAAGTCATAAACCAATGTAATCTCTGAAGAGTTTAGCAAATCACACAGTTTGAAAAGTACAACTGTTCAGAGCAGATGCACAAGGATTTGTATATTGGGGTTTTTTAGCTCACATGTGCATGTAATAGTTACACTTACATGAATGTAAATATGAGCTTCTCTGCTCTAAAAGCTAAAATAGTTTAAAATGTAGAGACATGGGAGCAAAACTGGCCCATTAGGAAAATTCTAAGAAACTTAAGTGCATGAAAGCCTGTCTTTCCAACTGTAACAACTGGTCTGGAAGCTCTGCTTCCACAACACTTCACTTTGCAGCACTTACCCTGTTACACCAAGTCAACTTGGCACATCCTGTGCAGAAAAGATCTGAGTTGCTTGTAAATACTTGTAATATTTGGAATGTAAAAGACTCCTAGAAACTGTGCTGTGCTGCTAGGGTTCATTTTGTCTTCTCCCTGTGTCCACACACACACAGGCTGAAAAGCAGATTCAGGATGCTGTGCTGCTAGGGTTCATTTTGTCTTTTCCCTGTGTCCACACACACGCAGGCTGAAAAGCAGATTTAGGAAAGAGTGTTTAATTCTTTTACTTCCGCAAGAGTGAGGAGTCATTGTGCAACTCAACTCAGGCATGTCCAGCAGCCCATCCTTCAGTCTCGGTTGATTTTCATGCACCTTATACCTGTCAGGAAGGAGTTATCTTTGGCATCCCTGGTATTACCCAAACCTTATTGGTTTTAACAGTTTCAGTGCCAAAGTGCTACCTTCTTTGAGCTCACACACCCTGAGGAACAAGAGCTTCTCTTGGAAAGATGCAGGGCTGCAGGAGTGGCCCAAGGGGAGTGACACTGGGAGGAGGTCAGTGTGTTTCTGGTGTGAACACACAGGCCCTCAGTCCACGTGCTCCAGGGCTTGGCCTCTCCCTGTGCTGACCTCCAGACTCATGACCTGTGTCTCAGTTTGGCTGCCTCTTGCTCTCCCATCTACCTGCAGATCATTTTTCAAAAGACACAGACATAATCCTCCTGCAGAACTGTGCCATCAGCTCTCCCCACACGTGGCCTCTCACATCTGATATTCTCCAGGGAGAGGAGATGTGCTGTATGGTTTGAAAACCCAGAAATATTTGCCTTTTTGCAAGGCTGTAGCTGTTCTGAGCTGAGTGAAAGCTGCTGTCTGTCTTCTCTGCATCTGTGCAGGTGTTCAGGGTGGCCTGACCCACCCCCCCCAGCAGCAGCCTCCAACTGTCAGCATTAGGGAGCAAAAGAAAAGCATCCAATCAGCTGCACCTCTGTCCTGAGCACAGATTTTACAAAGCAATTCCCAGCCTGACCACTCAGCAGAGTATTTGAGAGGCAGTCTGATAGGCCACACTTGT